TTAACACAAGTTCTATTGACAAATCTGCAACACTCTTCAATCATAGAAAACTTTTCTCGCATTCATTACGAAAGAAAAAATTCTTTTTCAAAAGATCATGACACCATACTAATGTTGACTAACTCTAACTGATCTTATTCCAAAAAAAAAAACCAACATATGAAATTCATATAGATTTAAATAGTCAATAAAGAAATATGGGTTAGAGAAATGTTTGGATCGAACCGAAGTTTACCTCATCCGTCCTTATACAGAATCTTATTTCTATCAATAGACGATACTAGAGATGTACAGGACTAGGACTACGAGGTAAAAACTTCGCCTAACCGAAATTAAAGATTATAGTTTTAAGCGAATTATCTTATAAATCATATCTCTCTGAGCATAATCCAAGATAGATGACCCAAAACAGTACTCGTCGACAACTAAATAATAAAAAAAACGAATATTGAAGGCTTTTCTGGATGTAATACGAATAAATATTGAAATAGTTTTCTCTGAGCCGAGACCATAATTGAGATCGGAATGAAAAAGACCTTGGTCCCATACATCTCTGTAATACTCAGCAGCACGACATAGTACTGAGCACTACGAATTGCACCAACTATTCTTAGAAATAATTCTCTTTACAAGGATTAAAGAAGTAAATTCTCCTCCACAAATTGCCATTCATTCTGCATAGATTTCATAAGAATTTCTAATTAAAAAAAGACTCGATTTACTTATGAATAAGAATATCAAGTATTCCAGCAGCTTTTAATTCTAAATATGGCGAATGAAATTCTGTAATATTTTCAATCATTGCTTCTAAACATTCCATCTTAAAATCTCCATATAAATTATTTCAAATCAAACATTAATTTATTCATAACACTAAAATAAAAATACAAAAGAAAATTTGTTTGTTTGTTTTTGTTTTGTTTTGAAAATAAAATTTCATATACGTTTTATCAACAATTTCTGGATAATGTTTTTGTAATGAATAAATACATGTTATATATGTATCTTGTATAGTTTGACCACTATGTCATTTTAATATAAAACTTATTTCTTCTAATAAACGTTCATTTGATTGACCTTTTCATTTTTTAACATTTAATAACATTCCAACAACTTCTGCTGCTGCTGCTGCATAAATAGTTCGAAAAGAATTTTTCATATTTTTTAATAATGTTTCATTAAATT